TCACAGCCCTGGGAAGGGCTTGCAGTTCAACTTGCTGACCCCAAAAGATATTTTCCATCATATTTTGGAAACTTGGAGAACTTTGTTGTGATGTTTTTGGCAGAATTGTTTAAGCTTCCTTTTCAAAGACTGACTTTCCACTGCAATGATTATAGGAAGCGGTTAGTTGTAAGAAATTCCACTACATATGTTTGCCTCTTAAGAAGGGAGGACCCCCTAGCCCCTTCCATCTCTGCTCAGTGCCTCTATCACATACTGCGACACTTCTGCTCGCCTCCTTAGCTTCATTTTCAGTTCTTTTTCCTGGGTTCAAAAATCTGAAAACAATCCTGGAATGTCTCAAACAGATAAAGCTAGCAGACTGCAGATTCATGGAAGGGCAGTAGCAGCCAAAACATACAGGCAGGCAGAAGAAATGTCACTGGTTCAGTTCTCTATCAAACACCCTGGAGGGAGAACTCAGTACAGTGACCTAACAAACACCAAGTATCGAAGTGGCTCAGGCTTTAGCACCTCATCATCGTCTCCTGTGACTGCACTTCTGGGTTACAGTGAGCACAGTCTGCCTTAGATTTTATAAATTACACAGACAAAACTTCATTTGATTCACTTTACAGCAGGCATCTGTTCTCTACACATATTTACATGTTTATTAGTGCCAAATCCCCAGTCAAACTGTTCTGTATTCCTACTCTGTATGGCACAGTATGTGATGCCAGGGTTATACAAATATGCAGTTATATGTATAAATAAGGACTAATGCCATCTCCCTCAGGTTAAAGGGAGAAAGAAGTCTGCCTAGAAAAGAGAGAAGGTAAATCTGAAATGCATGCCTTGCTCAGCAAGTTACAGGACATACTGTCAGCAGATGGTATACTAAGGGCTGGGATGATATCCTGGTTGGCAAGTTGTCTGTGTGCAAAGAACCAAATCTTCTGCTACTTTCAGGATCTGTAGCTGTACCTGGCAATACCTGGACTCACAACCAGACAAAAGAAGCAGCACGTAATGGAAGAGTCACAGAGGGTCCCACAGTATCCAGAGCCACTCTTCCTGTTAGTTTGGATTGAAAGCAAGACCTGTGTTTCTGTCATAGCCTTAGGTATGTTCAAGTCACACTGTGCTACTTTTGTTTTTCATCATTTTCTGCTGCTTACTCTTCAGTTGCATCCCTTTCTTCTTTTATTAAACTGAATCACAAGCTACCCAAGAGGCAGACACTTATGGCCCATCTGTGCAGTGAGACTGATGTGCCTCCTGCTTTGTGCCAAAGTCCCTTTTAGGTCACACTGTACACAGGACTTTGTCTAGAAGCCGCTGTGGAAAAACCCCTGTGCTTCGTGGGCCATGAAACAGCCTCTCTTTAGCTTGCAGCATGTGACATGAAGAGGATTGCCCAACAGGATTTTGGCCAACATCTGTGAGAGTTGTACATGATTTTGTCAACAGGAGAATTTCCTAGGAACAGCTTGCAGCTGAAGTGCCTAGAGGAGGACAGCCACATTGGTGGGAGGGAGAAGAGAGGAGACGCGGGGGTTTGCTCGGATGACTGACGTAGTGGCAGATGAGGGACAAGCATCAGTGTGAATGCTGCTTTGAGCTAGGGGAATTTTGTAGAATTACCTCCCTATCCCACAAAGAAAGGCATTTTCAGAGTGATAAGCATATTCCTTAGCTGTCTGTACAGCAGCAATACTTGCACAGAAACAAGGCTGAGTTTCTGACAGCTGCACAAAGTCCCTGCATGTACGACTGCAATGTTAGACAGTGCACCTGCTTCTCCTGAAGGATTTTGTCCTTGCCAGGTACTCACAGCTGAGCACAGCCCTACCACTCTGCACTCCCCTGGCCATACCGTCTGTTGTTGGAGCAGTTTCAAAATGTCACAAGCCAGGTTTATGCAGGGACACCTTGGCTGGTATTTTCATTTTCGCCAAGACCTCCTGGAGCAGGAACATGGGAAATGAGAACAAGAGAAGAGGGGTCAAAAACTGCAGGAACTGGTTGGATGCTGATTGAGGCACAAGGTGTGGCACCAGAAGAATCTCTTTAGGAAGGAACTTTCTTTGAAGTAGAACTTGAGGGAGATAGCATATTCACAAAAGGGAAATTCTGCTTATGAAATTGAAGAAATCACTTGCTTCAATCATCTTGCCCAGACCTTGAGGAGATTACTCCCCAGCCTGGGGCTGTCTGGCAGATGTTCAGGGAAGAAAGAAGATTGAAGAAAGAGGGGAAGGAAGAAGCACATACATGGCTCCCAGAAAAGGTGATGTTTGAGTTACTGGAGTGGAAGTAAGGTAACTTTGAGGGAAGCTGGAAGGAAGCAGAAGTGAAGCACTGACTGTGACCAGACAGGAACTCTATTATACTGGTATTTTCCAGGTATGGTGCTGCCAGTCCTTATAAGAATGCTTTCCTTATCTTCTTGTTTCACTTTGTGAGCAGCATCTACTGCTTGAAGGAATAATGAGCTGTGTAAAAGTGACAGGGAGGGTCCCATCCCACTGTACCTACTGTACATGAGGTGTGTGGACACCCTGACATTGTCAATAGCCACATCCTCAGGAAGGACAGTCTGCTTGCCTGCCTGTAGGGAGAAATGCCAGATTTCTGGAAAACGCCAGCAAAACTTACTCAGCTGGAGAAGCTCAACATGGTGACCATGAGTTATCACCTAAAGTCTATCTGTCCCTTCAGTACCAGAAAATCTCTCTCTTCTGTATAGTGTCTATAAGTCAGCTACATCTGTTATGTACAGTCATAGCATCCCACATGCTCCTACAGCTGGGGAATCCAACCCAGGCAAACAAACCCTGCAGAAGCTGGCGGTATGCAACAGGCAGGGCCAGAGGATTTGAAGACAGCTTTGTGCTTGGCCATGTTGACCACAGCCTTGTCCAGCACAAAGTGTTCACCAGCCACAAGGAGGCCAGAGTAAGCAGGCTTGATGAGCAAAATGGCCTTGGGAGCTCAGGAGCAGTGGGGGAAGCAGAGTGTACAAGTATTCTGTGAAGCTGTGCAACCTCTTGTGCCCTGGGCTAGATGAGTAAATTGCAGCCTTCCTGATCTCCCAGGCTTCACTAATGAGAAGAGACTCAGGTCCACTTGCAACTATTCCACAAATGAAAACTTGCTGGAGCCAATGCCTGTTCCCATAGGGCTGGCTTCTTTTCCAGTACACACATTCTTGAGCAAACCTTGCATATTGTCTAACTTGACAGGCATCATGTCTGACATTTCTTGATGTCAATCAAATTCTCCCTCTGCACAAACATTAATTTTAAAAGGCAAATTTCCTAGTGTTCCTGCTACCATCGGTCTGACATATCATACTGGGAAATATGTATTTTTTATAATATATAGACCATAAGTCTTGGTGTGGTGTCTCAAGCAACCTGGGATGAAGGAGAACATGGAGAGGAAATGTGATTTATAAAGAATTTTCTTGGTGATAGAAGTGGCACCAGGAACTTTTCTGTCTTGCACAATAGGCTTCAGCATGCTATGAGAGCCACTGCGAAGAAAACAACCAGCTGTGGAACATCTTGTAGGAAAAACTAAAAGTTCATTTCCTATTTAATCTGCTTAATTGAAGACAGATTGAAAACAGAGCTAAGAATTGTATAAAACCCCAAATTTTTGTTAATCTATGTTCACTTCTCCTTACCATGTAGAGCTGTGACTTTTAAGGTGAATGACATATTTATTTTAACCAGAGAGCACCGCTGGGTTACATCCCAAACACTGCTGGCCATAGCAGCTGAAACAAAATTTTAAAAATAATTTTTTTAAAAAAATTAACCAGCTTACATTAGAACCATGCTTACAAGGCTGAGGCAGAAACAAATATGTAACCCAATTCTTAAAATACAGTTCAGCCTTTATTCTTGAAAAGAGATCACATTCTAGTCACAGCACATAGGGTTTTTTCCTAAATTGAATTTATTGGTGTTGTATCCCTTCCTTCATCCCATACTCTAACCTCCCCCTAACCCTTATTTTAATTAGTTCTTTTACAATTTAAAAACTTAAGTATTGATTCAGGGAATCTCGACAAACTGCTTGTGAATTATTTTATGAAATCTCTTATACAGCAGTTTTAAGATCTTAATGAAGTCTGTCAGCCTTCTGATGCAGAACAGCATTATGCATTTTCTGGACCAAGGACAAGGGACATTAATTGATGACTGCTGTAATGTAATCCCATTCAAACAGGTGGTAGGTGGACTGGAACTATAGCATTCTTCCAGGATTTTTGGAAAAAAAAAGAGATTTTCCACAAAAGCAAAGAAAGTGGTAATGTTGTTGTATCATAGAGCTCAAAATAATTGGAGTACTGACAAAAAGACATACTCTTGTCCATGAGGCAAGGGAGGGGCATATTTTTGGCTGCAGGGGAAAAAAAGCACACTCTGAAGATGCTGGAGAAAATAAAGACTGCTTGATTGTGAAGAAAAAGCGATTGAGGGAGTGTCACATCAGAAGTTACCTGCAACTCCTGTTGGGAGAAAAGGCACTGACCTAATCCCCATGGAAATAGGAGAGATTTCCATAACTGTTTTGGTCTGGACCCATGTACATTTGTGTTGTCCTGACAGGAACTGTATTAGAACCATTTACACAAATGGTTCTAATAAAAAAAGGCTTTGCCTTTTTGCCATATTATTACTGTCTTCCCAACACTCATCCTGCAGCTAAGAAACTACTGTCTTATTGCTCAAAATCCACAGCTGCTTCACTGCAGTCTCCTAGGGAATGCTCAGATTCTGATTTTTACCTGCAGGGACTGCTGGCAGTAGTAGTGTTTAGGAAACACAGCCACAGGCAATGCTTTCACTATGTTCAATTTGCAAACCAAGAAGACAAATTCCCTGTTTGACAACTCAAAGCACCAGATAAACATCCATCAGCTGGATCCTAAGGATTATAAATTAGCATTCCTGGGCCTTGTGCTTTTCATCTAGTTTGGAAACATTATTCAAGAGATGACAACAGGCAAGTATCTCATATCAATTTTTATTATTATAAATACTATATTAGAACAGAAAGGATGCACATCAACTTCCTTCCGCTGCTATTTGGTATCTTCCTTCTTGGCTCCTGCTTCTATTTTCAGGGTTTCTGGAGCTGGACGATAGGCAGGAAATGCCTCCCATGGGCTGTTCAGATCAAACTTACGAAATTCCTGAGCTAGCTCCACAGGCTCTGCCACCACCCGTTTGACTTCATCATCATACCGCACCTGGAACAGCACAAAGAACACAGGCCAGTCATTTTCACCCTGCTCCTGCAGCATGTCTGCTGTGCACAATGACCCAGTAATGACCCAGACAACCCTTTCTGCAGACAACTACTTCTTATCCATGATAAAATCCAGGCCCACAGGCCTCTGCCACAGCTTCAGTTCTCATGACTAAACAAGAGCTCTCCAGATGCTACCAAGATCTGTGCAGTGTCCAAGAAAACCCTCTTCCTATGCTTTGCTCCCATGCCCCTCAGGTGTCTTGACTAAGCACCCAGAATCAGGAGCACCCACCCTAACCGTCCACATGAAGGTCACATGCAGTAACACATTTAATTTGTCATTTGACAAAGGAATTTCTCCTGGGTCACTGAAATAAGATGTCCCATCATGGGCCTGCATGCCTGAGGACTACACTCATGAATCTTTATAATATGGCATTTGTGTAGTTTTAGTTGTTCTAATTTTTAGCGTGACACTCAGAACAAGGGGAGAAAAAGACAACCTGGATGGAATGCAGGTGCGTACCAGACATTTCTGATTGGCTTGCTTTATCCTCACTGTGCCAGTCCAGATCTCTGAAGCCAGCTCAGGAGATGGTGCCTTATCCTTGCTTGCAGGATTTTGTTATTTCTACATTTCTTAAAACAGCCTCTTTTTTTGCAGAACTTCACTGTTTTACTTCTGAGACTCGACTCAGTCTTAACACTGCACCAAATACACCTGCTTCTGCAGGGCAGTCATTTGAAACTAGACAGATACCAAACACTCTCATTTAACCTGTGGTTGGCATACAGAAGTAATAAATGGCAAGAGTCAGTTTAATCAGAGTTTTATAATCTGGGCCTACAAACAGTCAACAAAGTCAAGTTCCAACTGAATCAAGAACGATTCAGTCCTTTATCCTTCTAGACAACTCAGTTCTGCAGTGGAAACTTCAATCTTACAGAAAATGTGCTGAAAGCAGAAGCACTTTCTCTGCCTGACAAGTATCTTTGGTATACAGCACATAACATTTGCTCAATTTCTCCAGCCTTAGGCTGCCTTTTCATAGATGATATTTTGTGCGATAATTCAAATTTCTGTGCAGATTTATATAACTCTTCTGGAATACAGACAAGTGATTGTAAAGCAGTCACATCTTTGTACTGGAGCTCAGAAAACAGCATTGGACAGACTTGGTAACTTTAGACATGACTGTGTCTCCTACCTCCACATAACCAGAGAGTGGGAAGTCCTTCCGGAATGGATGGCCCTCAAACCCATAATCTGTGAGGATTCGCCTTAGATCAGGGTGGTTGGCAAAGAAAACACCATACATGTCCCAAACCTAGATGAAAGGGAGCCAAGTTAGTTGAATTGTATTTGAAAAAATCCCCAAAACCATATAACCTGTGTTATTTCCATAAAATTTTAGTTACATGCCTGGCTTTGTACAGTGCCAGCAAAACTGATGCAGGAATTCATTCAAAAGCAAATCAAACACCATTTTATCTCCTACTCTGAAAAGGCAGCTGGGGAAACACTTCTCTCTTTCTTCCTGAGGGCGTTGGGGAATTACTTTAAATGTGAAAATACAGCCTCTCTCCACAAAAACTCTGTTCCCAAGTGCACCAGCACTCACCTCTCTTTCATACCAGTTTGCTGCCTTGTGTACAGGCACTGCTGAGTCAACAGGTGTCAGCTCATCGGTGTACGTCTTCACACGGATCCGGCTGTTGAACCGCAGGGACAAGAGGTTGTACACAATCTGAAGCAGAGGAACAGGCAACATTTATGGATCTCTTTGCAGTACACCACTGCCTAAGCAAAGCCACACAAGGACTATTTCAAATATTCTTTATGAGCAGGATCACATTTGGCACTTCAGAGCTGGCCACTAGAAGACATTCCTACGACTGAGGTTCCAGTAGCTTATCACTTTGGTCCTTAGAAGTGTGACAAAAGTTATGAGAGACTTAGACATCATGACTGATGATGAAGAAGAGAGATACTAAATCTTAAAAGAGAGACTTCTGGAGGGATGGAAACACTTGACAATGGTCTGTCTCAAATAAAATGGCCATTAATCACTCTTGCAATTACTATCAGTGGAAGAAGGCTAAGATAAAATACACTTTATTTTCAGCAAGCAAGTTGAATACCAGGGAACACTTCCAACTTCTGCAGGGATGAAGTTTAGTACAAAGGCTGTTCATGAGATTTATTGTAATCTCTGGAAAGGAAATGCATACTACAAGCAGACTGAAAAAAAGTTCCCAAAAATTTGTAAGGAATTTTAAAGCCTTGTTTGATACGGCCTTGGTGACTGGAAAAGATGAATAAATTAGGATCTATATTTCTATTAATCTACAACCTTGATTTTTGAAAGAAAAATATTTAATTAAAAAGTATTCCACTACTTCAGCAACTGGAAGCCTTTGACTTAAAGAATTCTATCTACAACTCTCAATTTTTTTTTTTCTCACTGCCAAAAACCAAAGAAAGTGGTCAGAGCTGCAACAGCACGTACAGCCATCAGCACTTGTGAAGCCCTCCAAGTACTGCACCTCTGAGCAGTTCCTACCTCAAAGCGGTACTGCCTAGACGGGACATCAACAGCAGTCAGGTCAGCCAGGGATTTGAACTGAGCATTGGTGTGGTCACGAAGGAAGGTCAGGACGGGAATGATCCCATCTGGATGGATCAGAAGTTCCAGCTCATTGTAACAGGTCACCTGATGAAAACAGAGCAGTGGGAAGGGCGCGAGTACAAACACCAAGAGGACTGAACATGATGCTGATTTCAGCAGAACACTCAAACAAAGAGACACAGCAGACACAAAAAGGCATCAGATTAAGGGACTTAACAACAGCAGTACTTTTCATGGAATTCTGGCCCTTTTCTTCCCCAGAACTTCTCTGAACAGGTAACAAAAAAGTTGTGTGATCACTGGATCCTGTCCTGCCACAAGAACAATTTCTTGAACAGCACCTACCTGTACTTGCTGGATATACTTAGGCAGAATCTCAGCCACGTACTCCCCAAAAGCACACAGCTGCTTCTGTTCTACTTCATTTTTTGGTCTGACAGTAGCTAAGGAGAAAAACAAGGTTTCCAAGATTATGATAGGGAATACAGAAGGCTACAGAAAGAAGAGTAGTAACTCCATTTGACCAGTCTGTCAGAGACTGCACTATAGCAACATACTTGTGTTACACGGAAGGTGGAACTAGACACTTCGATAATGAAGGAAATTTGTGTCAGTGCTAAAATTTTGTCAACTCCGAAGAGCAGCATGAATTGTCCAACAAGCAGATGGAGGAGTAAATAGCCAGATGAAAAAGAGGGCAGCCGAGATGAACTTAGGAACTGCTCATGTCATTCAACCCGGGTCTAGAAAGGGCCTTGTTTTCTGGGTTTGCTGGATGTGTCAACATCTAAGCAAGCCCCTCATAAACAAAACACTCTAGGAGCTCACGTCGTTGGGATGTGTTTTTTCACTGTTACGACTGAAAAAGCCTTTAAGAGTCAGGGCAATGAGGGACTATGAAGCTGTTGCCTAGGCACAGCTTTGCACAGAAAAAGCAGGCTTGGCCCTGCATCTGAGAAAGGATGCAGACAAGAACCCAGAGCAAGCACGGGAGCCCAGAGCAAGCATGGTTACCAACATAACCACTTTTCTGCCCATGTGGGGTTTTCGGGTGACCGGACCAACCCTTTCCCGACACGCTCACAAAAGCGGTTCCACCGCCCAGGAACGTTCGTAGGGCGGTTCGGTGCCCTCCCGCCGGCTGGCAGCGGCACAACCGCACGCCTCGGGCCCCCTCCGCCCCCAAACCGGCCCCGCACTTACGGCGAGTG